AACAACTCAGGAAACTGTGGCTCAAGTGGTAGAGTGCTAGCCTTGAGCTGAAGAGCTGAGGGACAGCACCCAGGCCCAGAGTTCAGGCCCCACGACTGGACACCCCCCCCTCCCCCCAAAAAAAAGAATGTCTGTCAGCTACAAATCTATTAAGTCAGAGGCAAAAAAACTACAATACAATACCTTCTAAAATGCTGAGGTAAGTTAGCAAACCCATGTGAACTATAGGTTGATTTAGGATTTTAAGTACGCATATTGATCATATAAAAGTGTTAAATTCAGAATACTAACCTTTCCTCTGTACATTCTGTTTTCTCAGTTCCATCAATCTCAATCTCAATCAGCTCCTCTGCTTCTCTTTTAGTCATGGTTGAAGTATTTCAAATACTTAGTTCTATAAGAGTTAAAATTTTAAGAGATTGTGAAATTGTACACATAAAGAAAAATGATATGACCAAATCCAATAAAAGCAGAGAACAAGCAGAAGAGGCAAAAAGTAATCAAAGTTATTTCAGAATCAAATGAATGTTAGATTAACTATATTAAAGCAATTCAGACCAAAGTCTAAAGCAAAGCCTAAGGTAAAAAGTTCTTATTAGGAATAATCACTATAAAATGCTCTATTGGAGATAATATAAATTAATCATACCTCCAATTTCTGTTATAAACTGCATACCCAACAGATGCAAGTACAATATTCCAAAATAGCAAAAAAAAAACAAAAAAGTTAACAAATTATAGATTGTATTATATACAATCTATAGTTTAGTTTTCAGTTATTTCATGTACAATTATCTACTGCTTAACACTGTAATTAAGAAATATTAAGTACTGCATACTATTATCTACATTGGTATTTCTTTGTGTTTACTTTCAGGTATTAATGCTGTAAGTTCTGTTACAAACTACCTCATTTAGATGCTTATTTTTGGACTCATTACCTCAGTCCACAGCAACTTCAGAGTACAGTTTTCAGTTTACTCCTACATCTAAAAAGACATCTTGGATTTATAAGGAATGCTCCCCCAGGTCTGATACTCTAACATTTGCAAAAGAATCTGTGCCCTCACAGATCTGAGGTAGCAAATTCAAATATGCATATTATTGACTATCATTCAGTGAGTGCCAGGCATGGCACTCAAATGCTTAAGACAATCTCCCCCGCCCCCCCACCCCCACCCCCTGCAGACAAATTTTACTATGTAGTCAAGACTGGCCCTGAACTCAAGATCCTCCTGCTTCTAACTCTCAAGTGTTGGGAATACAGGAATGCACCAGCACACCTCACTCAGAGCAATTTTATTTTAAACCCACCACAATGTGAAAATTATCCAAAGATTAGTCTAAACTGCCTGTATTGTCACTTTAGATGGATCAATCTAATAATATTCCAGTTGTGGTCTAACTGTAGTTTGTTCAAAAGCAGGCTTAATAATGAAAATACTAGTGCAAAAGTTACTTTTACTTGAAACATGACAACGGCACTATTAAAGGGTTCTATTAGGGCTGATGGTGCGCCACAGTGGTAAAAGCACCTGCCTAGTAAGCAAGAGGCCTTGAGTTCAAATCCTATACTGCCCAAAGAAAAAACAGATTTCTGTCTATTCTCAGTCTATTCAATAGCCAAAATGTGATTTTTTTGAAAAGTGAAATTAGATCATAGTACTTTCTTCATGGATACATACTGCTCATAGTAAAATCCAAAGCCTTCTCAATGTTCAAAGATTCCACAAGATCTCACACCCCATTCCTATAACAGCCTCCAAACATCTTCCTGTTATGTGTGCTTTTCTCAACTGTTCATTCTGCTTGGAATCTGCCCAAAATGTCACCTTAAATCTCACCTTCTCAGCAACACACCGACAAATTCCTACAAATTCTGTCTTTTTTTAAACCTTCTCCACAGCACTTGTCTTTTAGCATACTACATTTATTGTTTACTGCCCTATGCTGTGAGATCTTCATGGAGTGCAAAGATCAAAAATTTCCAATGATTTTGTCTATACTAATAACATCCCCTAGCTTCTTGAAGTAGGAGGAGGCTCACCAGGTCTTAAATTCTCAAGAAAAAGGCCTCTGGCATAGGAGAAAGATTCAGAACCTATGAATCTATTAAGCTACACAGCAAGGAAAATAAAGATGGCAAGTGGACCTGAAGTTATTAATCAGCTTGTGGTGCCACATGCCTATAATCCTAGCAGCCAGGAAGGTGAGGCAGAAGGGTCATGAGTTTTGAGGTTAGCCTGAGCTACAAAGTAGGGAGCTATTTCAGAAAACAAAAGCAAATTAAACTCTCCAGAGAGTATACTGGTTTAGCAAGATAGGACCAATAAAATCACCTTAAAAGATAATTGAGAGAGAGGGAGCTGGAGTTATTTGTGAGAAGGACTCAACTGTAATTATGATTGATTGCCCCTGAGGATAGAAAGAACCACAAGCCAAGGAATGTAGGCAGTATCTAAAAGCTAGGAAAGGAAAGAACAGATTCTTCCTCAGAAGTTCTACCAGAAACAAAGCCTTGCAAACACCTAATTTAAACTTGAGACCACTTTCATCTGTTAGAGTAGCAGTATGAAGCGAATACAATCATCTTCTATGCTTTCTACTTAAGAGCAGTAACTTTCAAATCCCAACAGCTGCAACTGCTAAAGAGGTGGTTTTCCAATCATGTAAACAGAACACAGTTGGCATCTCAATCTACAATGCTCAGTATAAGAATGACCTGATCCCTTTCATCATTGTTAAAAGTTGCTACCAAAACTGTTCCAAAAGACGAACAAAGTCGGACACCAGTGGCTTACGCCTGTAATCCTAGCTGCTCAGGAGGCTGAGATCTGAGGATCACAGTTCAAAGGCAGCCTGGACAGGTGAGACTCTTATCTCCAATTAACCACCAGAAAACTGGAAGTGGCACTGTGGCTCAAGGGGTAGAGTACGAGCACTGAGCTGAAGAGCTCAGGGACAGTGCCTAAGCCCAGAGTTCAAGCCCCTCTCATCTCCAATAAAGGATGAGCAATAAGCGGGTAGAGTTCTCTCAGTTATCATACATGTCCAACAAACTAGATAGGCTCCAGCTGGATTCTCTTTCAGATGATGAAAGGATGAAGAATATTTTCTCTTCTGGCTGATACTGCTTTAGAAAGCGTTCCTTTCCCCCCTTTTAGGAAAAAGAGGGGGGGAGAGGGAGGGGCGAACAAGAGAACGAGAGAGGGGGGTTGGGGAGAGAGGGAAAAGGAAGAAAGAAAAACTATTCTTTAAACAGTACTATGAAAATCTGTGGAATTCACCTTCAGCAAAACAGGTGGTGATCCAAAGAACAACATACACTTTACAAGGGGACAGATTTACTCAGAGATATGTATTTCAGTGTCTTAATCACAGCAGACTTCTTCCCTAAAAGGTGACAAATGGGGGGGAGGGAGGAGTCTTACACACATTAATCTATGTTGAATCAATGATTATTAGGGCTTTCTCACACCATCATCTGGACTCCAGATGCCTTAAAGACTTATGTGAAGGGCAAACAAAAGCAACTTTTCTTGTGGTCTAAGGTTAGAAAAATTTTTAAATTCCTCAGACATAGTCATAAAGAGAAAAACTAGTAGATCTGATCATATAAACATTAGGATATGGGCTGAGTGTTGTGGTGAAGCCTAAGGAGGTATAGATATGAGAATCCTTCTTCAAAGCCAGCCCAGGTAAAATTAACAGAATAATCTATCTGAAAAATTAATAAAAGACTAAGGAAGTAGTGCCCTTAGTTCAATCCTCAGTTAAGGGTGGGGGAGGGGGGGAGACCTTTGATTTATGTTTGATGCACAAGCTATAGACTGGGAAAACATAAAAATTATAAGGGACTAATAATAAATGAAATTGACAATAGCCCCATTAATTTTTTCCATACCTGTCCCCCCGGAAAAAAAAAGGTCAGTACAAATAAGAAAAACATAGGAAAGGGGACAGCTCAGGGACCACACCCAGGCCTAGAATTCAAGCCCCACGAACATAAAAAAGCATACAAAAAGGATAAGGGAAAGCAAAAGGTCTCACGGTATCAAGAAATGATCAAATATAAATCCTTTATCCAAGCAACCTGAAATGTACCAATTGATACTGATACTGTATCTATGGCCAATGTCTGACTGCTGAATAACAGGAAGAGTTAACAAGGACATCAGGGGCATAAAACTCCTGTCTTCAGTATACAAGGTACAGAAGGGACTAGATACTCTGGAGATTACCCAGTAAATCTCAAACTTTCATTCACTCATCACTGTAGATAAGCACTCCAAAGAAACTGGTAAGATGTTTGGGGAAGCAATCCAAGTCATAAGAAAGTAATATAGGAGAAATGGGAAAGGACATACTTTCCTTGTTAGAAACAAGGAAAGAATATTCACACAAAACATTTGTTGTTGTTCTGAGATAAGATTTCACTATTGTTCCCAGGCTGATCTGGAACTCTGGATCCTCATGTATCACTCCAGGTAAATAAATCTCATATAAGATATAAGGCTAAACAGCACTCAAATAAGTTAATGTGCTTTTATTTTAGGGCTTATAAAGAGGTCCACTCCCACCTCCATAACAACTCAGGAAACTGGAAGTGGAGCTGTGGCTCAAGTGGTAGAGCGCTTGCCTTGGGCTAACGAGCTGAGGGACAGGACCTAGGCCTAGAGTTCAAGCCCCACGACTGACAAAAAAAAAAAAAAAGAAGAAAAAAAAAGATACACTTGGAATGCATATAAGGGAGTTAAAAAAATTCTACAATCTTCCAAAAATGTTACATAGATCACTTCTTCCCTAAAAGGTGATACATGGGGGGAGGGAGGAGTCTGTGATTACACACTTTTGTACAAATTGTATTATTCATAGCCTCTGAATCAATATCTCTAATACAAACTAGAAAAGTACTGTACTATTTGGGGAAACTGTCCACGGTTTCTGTGTTTGAGATTGCTAGACAGGTGCTCTTGCCCAAGACCCATGTCTCCAGCTCTGACTTTCCTCTTTTTTGAGATGGGTCTCACTTCCTGCCATGGAATCCTTGGTAGCCACCCACCTATGTTAGGCTTCAGAGTAGCTAGAGTAACAGGCACACCCCTATGTCCAGCTCTTTCTTGAGAAGACACCTTGACGACTTTATTTCTGACAAGGCTGGCCTTGATCTGCGATGTCCACTATCTCAGCCTCACAAGTTGCTAGAATTACATGTGAACACCAGTACCCAGATGTGCAAATTTTTATTATCAGTTCTTAAGAGGGTTCTTAGCTCTTTTTCTGGAACAAGTTCCCCAGTGATTCTACATTTGTAAGAAAACAGAACTGATATTACATAATGGTAACTCTCCAACTCAAAAGCTGGTCCTCTGTCACACTGCATAAAACAACTTCATATACTTTCACCAACACCTCAATTCTAGATCAATCCAAACTTCAGAACATTTCACAAAATGGATACAAACTAAGTTCTAGTTTCATTAAAAATTCTGGACAAGGCTAGTGTTGTTTTGTTTGCTTTACAATTCATATATATTTAAGATTCCTTTTTTGGTACCACAGATAAATTTGAGGATGGTTTTTCTGCACTGGAATTCAATTGCTTCATTGAGTTTAGAGCATTTTTTCCTAGTATAGTATAAGGAGTACAATCAGGAAGTCCTTGCATACTTTCTCAATCTAAATCGATGTTCATTGTGTGATTTTTTAAAAAAAAATTAATTTTCCTCTATTTCTGAAGTTCATAGTTGGGTCCAAAACTAAAATGAAGTTTTAATTTGGTCCATGGCCTTATCTGGTCTCATAGCTTGTTTCAACTTAAAATCTACTTATTACTTTCATTACTTCCCAGCTATGACATATGCTCTTATATAAGCCATCCAAGTAAAACTAAGTCTGCTAGCATCAGCAATTGCATAGAAATTAGTCGGAAAGTCTAGATAAAATCCTGATAGCAACTAATCCCTTCAAAGTAAGTGATGTGCACTTTTAATCCCAATTAAACAGGTGGCAGATGGGAGGACCTCTGTTTGAAGTGTAACTAGGTTAGCAGGACTGTATCTCCTGTGCTTATAATCCCAGCTATGTAGGGAGAGGCGGTAGAGTGCAGTCTTCAAGGCCCTGCTTCAGGCAGAGTTCTAGATCCTATCTGAAAAATAAACCATGAACGGTTAAAGAGTGACTCAACTGGTTACCAATGCAAGGCCCTCATTTCAAAGCCCTGCTACTGCCTATATATATATATATATATATATATATATATATATATATATATTTAAAGTTATGACAAGGGAACTCGCTAAAGTTTCTGCTCCTCCCCACTAGCTAAAACTACTTGGTTTTATTTCTAAAGTAGTACGATCATCTTGCAATATTGGGTACTGTCCACTTTATGCCTTATGACACTAAGCACGTACACAGTGAGTGACACACACACACACACACACACACACACACACGCCCTCCACTTTATGCCTTATGACACTAAGCACGTACACAGTGAGTGACAGACACACACACACACACACACACACACACACACACACACACACGCCCTCTAGTCCAGCGAGTTTACGTAAACCCCCTTTCCGCGCTCCAGGCTTGTGCATGGCTTTAGTGCCAACTGTGAGGCAGCTCTGGCGTGAGTGGATCGATGGCCGCAGTGCCGCCGGCCGGGCGGTTCCGCAGCGTCCCCACAAGTCCTGGGGGCGTTCGGCCCGGCGGGCCGGGCTGGGTACAGGGGAGGGAGGAGAGCGAGGGGAGGGCCGGGCCGGGCCGGGGGAGGGGAGCGG